TTGGGTTAAGAAATGATTTATCTGTCACTTATAAATTCTGTATGCAAATCAAGTAGAGATTCAGAGCATATTTGAAAATTATTGAAGGTTTCCCTATATTATTTATACATGATATTTCAGATGGAAGATCTGTGTTAAATCATCCCTTCAAAATATGTAATTGTGAGTCCTGAACTGCTTTGATTAATGGGGCTCAATGTATCGGATCTGATGTCTTTTGATTTCCAAATATTAAAGTATAATTTATTCAGACCAGAATACAAACTATCAAGATATGTAGCCTTCTAGAATTGAAATTACCAATTAAAATGTATCTCGAGATATAGCGCAAGCCTTCTAGAGTTTTAAAAATACTCAAAAGAACATTGTTACATTTTAAAAAATTTAAAAGTTTTATGAATATACAAAAAAAACTTTTTGTTTTCTTTTCTGTCATTTCAACACACCAGTGACAGTCCTAAATAATTTTCATATACAAAGATAACCTTAGCCTCCACACAATAAAATGCAAATTAGAAACAGCATCCTACGGAAATATTTGCCAAAATCACAATACCATACAATGAAGTAAAAATTTAAAACTTGGCCAATGGTATTTACCTTTTAAAAAATATTTTACAAAATTGTTGCAACCTGAAGGAATATAAACTAGCATAATAATTATTAGTTTGGAATATAATTTCACAGCTTTGTTAATTTTCATTAATATTTTTATATAATAGAGATTTCTCAACTTCAATAGTTCCACTCAATTCTTTTTTCAATATTAAACAAATGCCTCCTAAGGGTTACTAGATGTGTTCACATTATAGAATCAGTGTTTGCTCAAGCTCAAAAATCAGCAGGTCCTGTCCTGTTGGTTTTTGAGCTTGAGCAAACTGATTTTATTATGTAATACTTCATACCTCTGGCACTTTTTCCACTGGAAAAGTCATCCACATCTCACTAAAATTGATTATATCAGAATTATGGAATAACTGTTGAAAAATCTTTGTAAAAATTTTGATTTTCAGGCCCTGATAGTTCCAATTAGTTAACAATGAAAAATAACATTTATGGTATTTCCAAAATTTGTATTATCATTTGATTCTCTGATACAGAAAATTCTTTAAATTAAGTGCTAATAAAAAACTTTGTGTTTACTAAATCATTTTCTCAGAAACAGTAAGTTACTTTTTCTTCATTTACTACCATATAATCATCTTGCAATTTAACTCATATATAACACTGTTTGATCATACAATGGAAGATCAATAAGGTAACAAATGGATTTCTGAATAACTTTGTTAGTAAAAATGTGAAATTACAGCCAGACATACATAGATAAGAATACTGTTTTCATATAATCCCCAAATTTGTCAAAGCACTTGTTCCACTGGCTAATTAAAGCATCCACTCCATCAGAAAATAATTTTGTATCAAGACCCTCCAGCCATAAAATTATGGCCTGTTGCATGCCCCCACAGTTTGAAATCATTGTCCACAGATGTTTTTCATGTACCCAAAGAGATGGAAGTCACTGCATGCCAGGTTCAAACTACAGGGAAGGTGTTCCAAAACCTCCCAGTATATATCATTAATTTTGAACGGATGTATTGGGAAGTGCTGCATTGTTGTGCAAGAGAGTGACATCCTCTTAGTGTTCCTGATCTTTTGCAGTAGATTCAAGATATAGACGGTACATCTTCCTCTCTACTATAGAAACCTTGTTACCTTATTTATTGATCCTCCCTTGTATTATAATATGCGATTAATTGCCTCCATCTCTCTACATTCCTTAGTTAAGTCTACTGATATCTGAATATCTCTATAGTCATCAAATCTATTTTTCTTTGGTTTCAATAAATGCAAAAAAGAAATTATGTTTTTGCATTGAATTAAAATTGAATTTGTCCAAGCACTTGTTCCACTGGCTAATTAAGGCATCCATGTTAAACAAAGGATACTAAGATTTGGATCCTGCTGTTTTTATTTAAAATTGATGTGATAAATTCTCATCAATTTTAGTACTATATAACATTTATTCTGGTTAAATATGTTTATTGTTAAATTAGACTTATAACGTACTAACTGTTCTCTCTAAAAGTTTTTAATCTCTATCTCCATTTTGTTTTTTAACTTTATTATTACTGGCTCGTATTATTTTTGGTAATCTTAGTGTGAACATCTGTCATTGTCATGTCTAACTCACTATTCTCTGTTAATATTAATTCTATTTCTAACCCATCTGTGGGATTTTTTGCCTTGCCCAAATCATTTCAGAAACAATTGGAGGTGTATTCTGCAAATCATAATCAACTTTGCCAGTAACATCCCTTTGAATGATTATTCTCTCTCAAGACAGTGCAGGATGGCCACATTTAGCTGGAGAACGTCTGAAAGGGCCCAAACTTGATTCCATTCCTGCCATCTTCAGCAATAACATAATAATAATAATAATAATAATAATAAAGTTCAATCACAAATTTTACTATTAATAAGTTTCATTATGCAAGAATCAACTTTTTGAAAACTTGCATAAAATGCATTAACATCTAGGATGATTGAAGTGCTTCCTGTATTTGGAATTTCTACTCAGTAGAATTTTATAGGAATTATGCTATCTTAAAGAATGATATTCAGATCAAGTTAATTTATTTTACAAAATTATTTTAATTTGTATTTTGGGCAAAGTTCTGAAATTTGTTGAACTTATGGCTATTATAATCAAGATTATTTTTGTTGGTGCTTTTTAATTTTTACAGAGTTTTTAGTAGTCATACAAATGGAAAAAATGAAGCATTGTAAACCAATGTCTAATTTGCTGCTGACTCAGATGAATACTACTAAGTTTGAGTTTGGTTATTTATTATTTTTATTTATTTATTCCATTTAATGATTTTTTATTTCTTGTTTTGTTTGACTTCAGGATTGAAATTATTTATTTGCTGTTTTTTTATTGTTGCAATTAGTTATGGTTGCATTTTTGATGGCCATATGGCTCAAACAATTAAAAAGTATTCCTTCCTCTCTGGGTACCCACTTTTTAAGTTCAATTTGGATCCTTAGCAATTTTCCAGTTGTTGGCTTAGAAATTTTAGCTCCATCCTTCACCATTCTATTCGTTTAGGAGTGTGATTGAACCCATAATGATTATGCAAATGATATACTATATTCTTATTGCCAAGGGCAAAAAATAAAAAAAAAAACAATCTTTTGTAATTCTTTAAATCAGTAGATACTTATGTGAGATATTAATTAAATTAAAAATACATTAGATTAACAAATAAAATAAGCTTTATAAAGTCATAAAATATCATTTGAATTGTTAAATTTTATTTAAAAACTGATCACAGAACATGAAATGATAAACAATAATCAAGTCTTATTCACTATTCTTTGTTGCATTGATTACAATAGTAAGGTGTAATGAATACTTTGAAAAATAAAATTCCTTAGTTCAGTTCCTTCTGAGTAACAAGCACAAGCAATTAGTAGTAGTTATTTATACATTACTAATATGGTTAATAATTTGCCACAAGTAACTATTTTTTTTATGAAATAACTTAACATGCAAATATAATTTTAATTTATACATATTACAACTTCACCTTTTTCAGACATATAGAACAAATTGGAAAAATATCATCTATTAAAAATAAAGGTTTTTTTTAAATTCTACTTACCATATATATTTTGTTTTTTAGAACAAAAAAAAATCATTTTTTCCTTAAAATATCTTCTGTAATTTGGTAAGTGTAATCTAATAAACATTTTTGGGATCAGAGATTCATTTTTAGAGGAATGCATACAGATAATTTCTATTTCTTCATGTGTTCCTCTAAAGATGGATCATAGGCTTGAAAACAATATATATATTAGAGCACAGTTTACCAAATACTAAAACAGATTTTGTTCATAATTCATAAAACACGATTTTGTTGATTATAAATTCTACTTAAATTTTATCATAAATAAAGTAGTAAAAATTTGTTTTTTAAACTGAATTTAATGGAATATGAAGATTTTCTAATGAATGCATCAAAATTGAAAACAAAGTAAAATGAAACATAGCTAAAACATACAGAAGAAAAAAAATTTAATTTAATTCAGAAAATCTCAATAACATAATAAATTTTCTAAAAATTTGCTATTGCTAAAGATTTTAAAACAATTTTTTGATGGTTTTTGTGATTTAGAATGATTTTTAGATTATAATATACAGTAGAGCATCAATTATCTGACCCCCGATTAACCGTTCTAGTTGGCAAATTTCAAATGTTCGCTAGTGATGTGGCGCTACAATATTTGGGTATGTCTTGGCTACTTTAATATTACTTTTGTTAAATTTTTGTGTGTTTTAGCTGGCAACACTGGCTCGACCATGAAAGGGAGGCCAGTATTTAAACGAGACTTAATTTTCTAATTATGAGTGGTTGTTTGTTTCACGAGCAATAAAATAATTTTAAAATAATTTTTAATGATACAATAACAACGATTATTGTTTTTAAAAAAGTTTGTTATGCTGAACATCGATGAAAAATCAACGCAAAGTAGGTTAATAGTGATATACTAATTACATGGGATATACTAATATACTATACTAATAATGTATTTTTTCCATTCTTTTCGGTTATCCGACCAACCCGAGTCCCCAATTGAATCGGATAATTGATGCTCTACTGTATATGTAGTAACTGTTCAAAACACTTAACAGGAACTTTGAAATAATACTTGTAAATTTTTATTCATCAGTAAAAAATAAATGTGCAGTGTAAGTAAACAGTCTTACAACTTGTGTTTTTTTTTTCTTCCCTTCATCTCCAAGAGCTAAAAATATAAAAATTCCATGGCAATTAAATGAAAGATTGATATTATTTTTTGAAACTACTGAAATGATTCAAGAAGAGAAAAATCTGAGAATGTTAGACACTACATAAAATTGCATATCATTTCCAATAAAGCATTTTGATAATTATAGAGATATTTATGATGATTAGAATAAATTTTCACTAATACACTTTATATATATACAATTTATTTTCATTTTGAAATTATTAAGAAAAAATACATATTTGAAAATTCTGACCCAATGAGTTTCAATGTTTCAAATCAAATATTTCAATGAGTAATGGCTCAACATCTTTGGGATTTACATCTAAAAATACTCGGACATGCTTTTCATTCAATATATGAAGTTCTTCAATTTTTTTGATAAGTTTAAGATATATTGAGCGAGCTTCACATCCAGAATACACAGTCTCTAAATATCTCCTTAACAAATAGTAATACATTCCTTGTTCCATTTTAACAACATCTTTATGTACAATATTAGGTCTTTCTGGAGTAAACAATGCAATGGCACTTAAAATTAACATAACATTTTCATCTGCTCTCCAAACAGGATCAAATGAATTAATAAAACGTTTATGTTCTTCATAAACATTTCCCTTAGCTTCCTTTAAGATATCAACTTTTATAGACATTGTTTTTGGTCCTTGAGGGCCATGCCAACAATCTTTTTCAGGATCATAAGACATTACAGAACGAAGGATCATCAATTCAGTGCATCCACCTTTCAGAAGAGCAATCTGATCATCCTGACATAATGTCTTAAAGCCATTTATTTTTTTTGACATTTTAATGAGACGTCGAATAGCATGGTCTGTCATGTTTATGACATCTAACAAACTTGGATCAGGCACACCAAAAATAAGTGGCATTTTTAATATTTCATTGGCAACTATCAGTTCATCAAGTTTATTATGTTCAGTTTCTGATAATTTTTTAAAACTTGAATTATATTCACGAATGGGAACTTTTGAAAATTCAGTTTCAATAGCAACTTGCAAAACCGATTTTGGCACAATTTCATCTTTATTTTCTGTAGTTAATGAGTCTATTGCATGTATCTGTGACTGAAATTCATTTTGTGAACTATAATTATTTAAGGTGTCTGATTCAGTTTGTACAGTTTTTTGCACAACTGCTGTAGTTTGGGATATATTTAACGATTTCCTAATATTTGGTGTGTTCATTGCAAGAACAGTCACCATCATAGGTACTTCTTCTCCTTTCATATTTTTGACAGATAAGCAAATGCTATTTTCTAAAGATAAATCAGAATTATTACTTTGACTATTATCATCATCTGTTTGTTTGTTATTTTCTGATTTTTCAATTATATCATTAATTATGTTTTCAGAATTATTTAAATAATCACTATCAACACTAGATTCTATAAAAGGCTGTTGAATACCTGTTACTCGTGCTTGGGGTTTAGTGACTTCTCTGAGAGAGGAAGTTTCCAAGTTACAAGAATTACTACTATTCAATTCTATATCAAGTAACTGTTTGGAATCTGGATTCAAAATTCTTTTTTGTCGATTTTCTTCTATTTTTGCACGTTTTATTTTTTTTTCTTCATCTGTTAAAATCCATTCTTTTTTCATTCCTATATCAAAACATTTTTTTAATCTGCACTTCTGACAGAAACGTCGAGTAACAATATTCACCTTACAATTTTCGTCAAAAGGACACTTGAATTCCTTTAAGAAAAATAATTACATAATTAGTTATCAATTTATTAGTATTTAAATAGTTCAAAATAATTAATAAGTTTATCATTAATATTTCCCATTCTTACTTTACTAATATTCTTGATATAACAATTTTAAAAAAATCAATATTAAACATAAGCCTAAATCATTGAACTATTTTCAAGCTACAGTGTGATTGTAAAATCCCTCTTCAGTGGGCTATGTCCATGTTGCTTAGCCAAGTAATGACATCATAACTTACTGTAACTCTTTAGACAGGCAATCTGCCTGTGATGTCATTAATTCATTCCTGGAAGGTCCTCTTGTTTCCCTGCCCACTGCAGAGGGACTTTACAATCACACTGTATGTACAGTACATTAAGTCTAAATCAGTGGTGTGAAAATTATAGAACATATCCCAAAGGGAATGCAAACACATTCAAAGATGCAATTTTTTCATTTTCAAAAAATTATATGTAAGCATTTATTGTATGTAAGCATTTATTATATGTAAGCATTGTGGAGGTTGAAAAAAAACCCGTAGGAGGGTTTTTTCAACCTCCACCAACCCAGAATAACAAAACCACTTTATTTGTAGAAGGTAGTTACAGTCTTGACCTATTTTTCCACATAATTGCCTTGTCGATTCAGGCAGATGTCATACCGTGACACCAGCTTTTGTATACCCATGTTGAAGAACATTGCCGCCTGGCCATTTGGCCAACCTTTAACATTGTCAGTCAGCTCTGTGTTGCTTGTGAACTACTGGACTCCTAACCACTTTTTTATTTGAGTGAAGAGATAAAAATCACTTGGTGCTAAATTGGGGCTGTACAGTGGATGAGGAAACTGTTCCCATTTGAACCTCTGGAGAAGTTTCTGAGTCATTTTTGCAGTGTGAGGATGACATTGGAAAAGGATCATGCCCTTGGACAGCATTCATCTTCTTTTGTTCTGGATTGCCTGTCTAAGGTGTTGGAGAATTTTGCAGTACATGGTTCCATTGATGGTTGTCCCAGGTGCCATAAATTCGGTTATCAAAATGCCTCTTCTGTCCCATAAAACAGTTGCCATCCTTTTGTTGATAGAAAATGATCGTTTGAATTTTTTGGGTTTGTTTGGAGACAAAGTGTGCAACCATTGTTTTGACTGCTCCTTTGTCTTGACATTTTCGAACAACACCATCTCATCCCCCATCACAATCTTGTCCAAGAACATCTCTCCATTCTGGTGGTAATGCTGCAGAAACATCAAGACAGCATCCATCCTTAGAGTCTTGTGATGGTCTGTAAGCATCTTTGGAACTCATTGTGCACACAATTTGCTGACCCAAGCTTATCTGTTATAATGGTATACAACAGTGTGGACCTTGAAATTTGAGGAAACTCCATCACACATTTCCTTCCTTGACTGACCTCATCATGAATGTTGTCACATCCTTGTTTGAATTTCCTGCACCATTCACATACACATCCATAGCTCATGAAGTTCTCACTATACACATTATACATCCTTCGATGAATTTCACCTCCATTCAGCCCTTTAGCCTGTAGAAATCAAATTACTGCTTGTACTTCACAGCTGATGGGAGACTGGATTGGCAGCACCATGTTTACATGTTTACTGCACAGTAGCAAATGTCTAAAATAGCTTGATGCGACACTAAGTGGTGAGGGAATACTCACTAGGTGCATACCCTGTTCCTGTCTCACGTGCTTCCAATTTTTTTTGATGAATTAATGGAGGTTGAAAAAAATAACCCTCATATTCTGTGTTTGCGTTTATTTGTAAAAAACTTTACTGTTTCTGTTACATTTCAATGTTATTATATAATCTTTATTAATGTATTTTTTAGAATTTGGATAAAAACAGTATAATAGAAGAAAAGGATAAAGTGCTATTATAATTTGTTTTTTATTCATGTGAGTCTAATAAGAAAGATACAAATATTTAAGTAAATTAGATTTACTTAAATATCATCAAAATTGGCCAAAAGATAGATAATCATACTACATTTTGGTACTAAATAAAAAATTAGAAATTAATTTCAATTTTTTAATTACAGTGGGTGATCGGTTAATGAACAGTTTGGTCAATGAACACTTTCGCAAAAAATTTTTATGTTTGGACAACGAACACCAATTTTATTATTACGTATAAATAAACATAGTAAGAAAGTGTATATTTTTTATTTTTTGGGGTCTCCAGAATGAATTAATCAAATTCCCATAAAAACTATGGCAAATCGATAATCGGTTAACAAACAATTCGGATAGCGAACAAAGTCTTGGAACGGATTATGTTCATTAACCAATCATCCATTATATTTAAAAATTCTGAAAGAAAAGATCAATCTGGACTTAAACCCACAATTTCTTTGTTGCTGTGTGAAAAGAAAGAAGAACCTGTGAGAAAAGAGAGATACTGTCATTTTTTAAAGTAAATATCTTTACTTGGAATTGGTTTTTTAAATTGTCACTGCATGCACTAAGAAAATAGAATTAGTATGAAAAAGAATAAACTCAGATTAATTATCATGTTGTTAAAAAAACAAAAACTAAAAATTGCAGAATTATAACTGTTAACAGGAAAGGTATAGAAAACACTTATACACTGAAGAACTCAAAAACACCTTTCAACATACAGGGTGATCATAATTAGAGTGAACATTCAGAGTTCTCTGTAGAAAGAACTTTAGAGCAAATGTCAACTAAATTTGATATACATACTATCTTGAGTATTCAATTTTAACTTTTTGGAAAAAATTGTACTTCAAAATTCAGCCACTAGGGCAAAATTTCACACTGCTGTCTCCTTAATTTGCATATTACTTACATTTTCTAATAAACTTCAAGTATAAAAGAAGTTGCATGACATTCTTCACCATTTTACAACAGATGAACAATTGTGGTGTTCATTTTGCTCAACTGTACATCAATTCTATACCTTACACCTGTAATCACATCTACAATTGAAATAAAATTATTGCACCTTGGTTCTGACTCCTAAAACTTAGTTGTCTAGTTATAGGTGTCATTAGAAAATGTAATAAACATTACATTTTACAATGACACCTATAACTAGACAACTATAACCAGCAAAAAAAAAAGTTTGTTTTTTTTTAAAACATACCTGTTTTCTACTAGTTATAGGTGTCTAGTTGTGTTAATTACTAAAGTATATCAATATAGTAGTAGCATCTGTGTTAGAAAATGTACATAATATGCATATTACAGGGACAGCAGTACCAAATTTTGCCCTAGCAACTGAATTTTGAAGAAAATTTTTTCATGAAAATCAAAACTGCATACTCAGGAGTCAGGACAATATATTTATACTAATTTGGTTAAGATTTGCCAATAATACTTTCTATGGAGAGTCCTAAACAGTTACTGCTACTTTTTAATGATGATCACCCTGTAGAATGCATTGATGGAAAATTACAGATTCTATATAGTGTAATAATACAGTAGTTATGACAACTTAACAATTTGAAATATGGCATAACATATAATAGGTTAGGAAAATGTTTTTCTTATTTATTTTGTTCAGTTAAGGGATTGAAAAATATATGCATCTTCATATGTTTTCAAATAATATAATATAGTATAATACAGACAATTTTTGGAAAATTCATTTCATTTTAGAAATATACAGATTTTCTCCTGAAGATGAACCATGCTCAAAAATATTTGAAGAAACTTATTTTTAATTAGTATTGCTAAATATAATATTTTTCACCTTTTTTAAAGCTAAAGTTTATTATTTTAAACATTGTTATCTTCAACAGCTGATTTACAGCAAGGTTAATTAAAAGCATGATAAATATGAAAATTACCTGTTGAAAAAATGTTTTTTTTTTCTTTTTATGAATAAAAACAAATAAAGAATTTAGAAATCTTAAAGAGTTTATAAGATAGGATTACTTGATAACAGGATAGCTGAGACAGTGAATGTGTCAGCTTGACGCTCTGGGATCAAATCCAGATGGTGAAGAACTTCAGGAATTTTTTCAAGGGCAGTCTCAGATACACCGAATCTCATCCCTTACTATCTGGCTGATCTCATGATGTGAGTATGATTAAAACGCCCCCTTAGAGTCTAGAGGGCAGAAAGAATGGGGGAAAAAAGACAGGATTAAAAGATAAAAATATCATATCTATATCATCTCAGAAGAGAAATGAAAATTATATAAAAAACTAAAATGTTAAATAAAAATTTGATGAAGCCTAAATCAGATTCATTTTCTTTGGTTTTAGCATCAAAAATATATTTTCTGATATGAGATCATCATCAACTGATGCAACTTTCTACACATTGCCATTTTAAACATCAAAATATTAAACAATGTGTACCACTTACTGATGGAAATAAAAAAATTTTTTATTAAACATACATACTTCCTACATTGACTAAGCTGTCCAGCTCCATAGAATAACATGTAAAATGGTAAACGAACAAGACTTGCCTTTCATCTTTTACAGGAAATCCGACTAGACAAGTGAGACTCATCCATAGACCAGAAAGAGCTAAAAAAATATGTATTTCTAAAAATTTATTAGTCCTGTACATTTTTAGTTTGATTAAAAATTCAGATTGAAAACACAGATTCAAAAAGTTAGTAGTTTCTAACAAACCTGAATATGTCACCATGATTATTCTGAATTATTGCTATAAATAAAGCTATCATTTCTTTAATCATTAAAAATTATTAAATTAACATTAAAAAATTTAAAATGTAATAATTTTTTTCAGTGGAATGATTATTTACCAAATACTCTGTTGAAAAATTTAATTATCAATTGACAATTAGCAAATGATTAATCATTATATCTCTAATTAGTACAAGATAGTAATTTGGACTAAAGAGACTTGGTCAGATCACTCAGTTACAATAATTAAAGTCTAACAAAAAGATAGACCAAATAAATCTACCTTTTAGATATTTGAGAAAACCAGTGAATGACACTCAGGATATTACAATCATTCATGATAAGACTACAACAACC